CTTTGCCACACTAAAACTTTTTAAAAATTGTGATAGTCTAATCCTGCCCTATTCCATTTTCAGCTGGTAGGAAACACTTTTCCTTATTCATGAGTCTGGCAGTCTCGGAAGAAGCACCAGGAAATCATCAGAGCCTGATGCCCGTTTCCTGGGTTCCTCAGTAACCATTGGTCCTTTTCTGACGCCAACGCCAGGGCCATTCAAGGAGGCTGCATGGGGCCCAGCTGCTGCCTCGGCAGGACAAGGCCACTCAGGTCACCTTCCCTGAGGACTTGTGACCAGAGGTGAAACTCTGATAAAGTCACATGGTAGACCCTTGAAGCCCACCTGCAGCAGAAACATGAAGGACATGGGCCACAGTTGAAAAAAGACCAAGAGTAAATAGAAAAGGCAGCTTAAAAATTCCCTTTGACTTTCAGAAATTGGAATTTGGGGAAATTTTGCCTCTGAGGAAACTGTTAGGATGGGCTGGCGAGTCCACCTTCAGAGGCTGAGGAGAGAGACCCCAGGACTCCTCGACCCTCCGTGATAACGGCAGTCATGGCAGAGCCAGTTTGGTTGAGCCCTTGGTGTTCGAGAGCTGTCCAAAGAACCTGAGATGGGGCTTCCCTGGTGGCGCAGTGGTAGAGAGTCCGCCTGCTGATGCAGGGGACACGGGTTCGTGCCCCGGTCCGGGAAGATCCCACATGCCGCAGAGCGGCTGGGCCCGTGAGCCATGGCCGCTGAGCTTGCGCGTCCGGAGCCTGTGCTCCGCAACGGGAGAGACCACAACAGTGAGAGGCCCGCGTACCGCAAAAAAAAAAAAAAAAAAAAAAAAAGAACCTGAGATGTATCACCCATTTTTATTCCTCACATCAGCCCCTGAGGCAGGGACTACTGTTTTACCTGTTGTACAGTGGGCACAGTGAAGTGTAGTGCTTGTCAAAAGCCATGCAGTGAATTGGTGGGGGACCTCGTCTGAACTTGAGTAGTTTGTCTCAGGAGCCTTACAGAGGCCAAGATGCCTAAGAATCGGTGCTCTCTCAAAGAGTTATTAAAAGGCACAATTATGCAAAAACATATTTTTGGTATCTTTTTTAGAACATTGACATTTTTAATGTGCCTGCAGTAATTGGGAAAAGAAAGTAAATAATAAAAAGATCTGTCTTAAGGTGTATTTGTTTGCTGACTAAAAGTTTTAAATAAAGGGTTTTATTTTTTACTTTTTATTTGAAGGTAGTTGTAGATTTTTTTTTCACATCTTTATTGGAGTGTAAATGCTTTACAGTGTTGTGTTAGTTTCTGCTGTACAACAAAGCGAATCAGCTATATGTATACATATATCCCCATATCCCATCCCTCCCATCCTCCCTATCCCATCCTTCTAGGTCATCACAAAGCATCGAGTTGATCTCCTTGTGCTATGCATAGGACCCGGCAATCCCACTCCTGGGCATATACCCTGAGAAAACCATAATTCAAAAAGATCCATGTACCACAATGTTCACTGCAGCACTATTCACAATAGCCAGGACATGGAAGCAACCTAAGTGTCCACAACAGATGAATGGATAAAGAAGATGTGGCACATATATACAATGGAATATTACTCAGCCATAAAAAGAAATGAAATTGAGTTATTTATAGTGAGGTGGATGGACCTAGAGTCTGTCATACAGAGTGAAGTAAGTCAGAAAGAGGAAAACAAAAACCGTATGCTAACACATATATATGGAATCTAAAAAAAAAAAAAAAAGGTTCTAATGAACCTAGTGGCAGGGCAGGAATAAAGACGCAGATGTAGAGAACAGACTTGAGGGCACGGGGCAAAGGGGAAGCTGGGATGAAGTGGAAGAGTAGCATTGACATATACACTACCAAATGTAAAATGGTGGCTAGTGGGAAGGTAGTTGTAGATTGATATGCAGTAATAAAAAACGGTAGAGGGAGATCCCATATAACCCTTCACCCAGTTCCCCCAAAGGTATCATCTTGCACAACCAGTACACAGCAATAAATACCACAACTAGGACATTGACATTGTATAATACACCTCGTTCAGATGTCAACAGTTTGACATGTACTCGTGTGTGTGTGTGTGTGTGTATGTGTACTTATTTCTATGCAATTTTATCATACTGTAGATTTGTGTCACCACCACGGTCAAGACGCAGAACAGTTTCATCACCAGGACCCCCTCATGCAAGCTTTCTATAGTCACATCCATCCACCTCCCTCTCAGGCCCCCTAATTCCTGGTTGCCACTAATATGTTCTCCATCTCTATAATTTTGTCATTTTAAAAATATTTTATAAATGGAATCATACAGTATGTAACCTTTTGGGTTTTTGGGGGGAGGGTTTGTTGTTGTTGTGTTTTGTTTTGTTTGGCGGTGCAACAAGGCTTGCAGGGATCTTAGTTCCTTGACCAGGGATGGAACCTGGGCCCCGGCAGTGAAATCACCAAGTCCCAACCACTGGAACACCAGGGAATTCCCCAGTATGTTACCTTTGGGAACTGACCTTTTTCACTCAGCATAATTCCCTTGAGACCCATCCCAGTTGATACATATATGAATAGCTCATCCCTTCTTCTTGCTGAGTGTGTTCCATGTATGGATGTGCTACGGTTTATTTAACCAGTCACTTGTTGAAGGATGTCTGGGTTGTTTCCAGTTTGGGGCTATTACAAATAAAGCTGCTACCAACATTGGTGCAGGTTTTCGTGTGAAGATGAGTTTCCATTTCTCTGAAGTAAATGTCTAAGATTGCTGGATCATATGGTTGAATGCATGGAAGAGACTGCCAAACTATCCTGGAGTGGCTGTACCATTTTACATTCCCACCAGCAATGTGTGAGTGATCCAGTTTCTCTGCATCTTCTCCAGCATTTGGTATTATCACTAGTTTTTATTTGAGCCATTCCAGTAGGTGTGTATTGACAGCCAGTTGTGGTTTTAATTTGCATCTCCCTAACGGCTAATGATGTTGGACGTCTTTTCATGGGCATATTTGCCTTCTGTATGTTCTCTTCAATGAAATGTCAGTCTGTGTCTTTGGCCCATTTTCTGATTGACTTGTTTGGTGTTTTTCACTTTATGTTGCGAGAACTGTTTGTATATTCTAGATAGTGTATTAGCCTTGTGTCAGATATGTGGTTTGCAAATATTCTTTCCTAATCTGTAGCTTGTCTTCTCATCCTCTTTGCAGAGTCCTTTGTAGAGCAAATATTTTTAATTTTGATGAGGTTGATTTATCAGTTTTTCCTTTTGGGGGGTCAGACTTTTAGTATCAAGTCTAAGACAAAGTAGGGTTTTGATTTCTGCCTCATCTAATGTGCAGTGTCTGATCATGAGAAAGAAGGCAGTGGGGCAGGATGGACACTGGAGTGTGAAGGGTTGTTCTTCCAGCCTCTGTCTAGTTTGGACTCTGGTGTGTGTCCTGATGAGTTGTTGCTCAAGGTTATGGCCCCAGGGTAGACCTGGTCCTACAAAGACTGTAAGATGATGATGGTGTAAAGCAAAACTTTCAAAATCTCAGTTTCCAGGGCCATACATGGTACCTTCTAACGCAAGGCCTTTTTGCACATGAGATCATCTGTCTGGAGCACTCTCCCCTGCCCCCAGCCCCCTCCTGCTTTGTCATATAAAGTTCTTCCTCCAAAGCTGGCCTACCAGGCCCTTTCTCAGAGCACCTCATCAACCCCTGCCTGCCCCCATCCCCGCAGGTGTGTCTCGGCTCCCTTTGTTGTAAATTCCACTTGCTGTCATACCACTTGCAAGCAAATGTGTCAAAATGAATGTAAATATCCATTCAGTATTTGTGATGATTTCATTAAAGTCTGTTTCCCTCTAGACCAAGGTTTCTCAACCTCAACCCTATTGACATTTTGGAGGTGACAGGTCCTTGTTGTGCACGGCTGTCCTGAGCCTCGTAGGGTGTTGAGCGGCAGCCTTGGCCTCCATCCACTATATGCCAGGAGCACCCTCCCCCTACGCCCAGTTGTGACAACCGAAAATGTCTCCAGATGTTGCCGGATGTTCCCTGAGGGACAAACTGCCCAGGTGGAGAACCACGGCCCTAGACTCTCAGCTCTGGGAGAGTAGGCACCAAGCCCATTTGTCCGTGTTCTCTCCCCAGCCCTGTGCCTGACACACTAGTGCTTCATTAATATTTGTGAAATAAATGAATGGATGAACAGTACCTGTTATCCAACAGTTCTTTACCTGGTAACCTTGGAAAGATCACCTGATTCTTTCAAAAGAATCAAGTGGGTTTCATTGTGAATCTGAGCCTCAAAATCTGGAGTTCCTCTTTTCATAGTTGAGTACAGTTTCCTTGCCCTCTTCCCGTGCTACCTGAAATAAAGATGCAGGAGTCTTCGAGTTCCTGCCTGATTAAAGCCCACATCCTCTGTTAACACTGCCAGAGCACCTCCATCATTCACAGGGCTGGGAGGCCTCCCACGATCTCTGAACATCCCTGCCGGCAGAAAGGGAACCTCCTGCAGGTGGCATTTGGCAGGTAATTTGGCTCTGCTGGAGATGCAATTCAGCATTCGTCTGCTGAGTCTCCTTCCTTCTCTGGCCTCTGCTCCCTTTTCATGAGGAAAGGGAGGAAAAGAGAGATTTGGGTTCGGTTTTGCTTAACTAAGCATGTAACTGAATATAATTAGTTCAGAAAGTTCCCAGGGAGTAAGTACAGTAGTCGTTAAGAGTAACTTAGGGATGTGTGAGCATTTTAGGTTTTTCTCTGTACCTGGCAGTTTTGTTCCCTGAATAATAGAGTTGGCTTTGCTTTAGGGGGGGAAAAAAAGGGCTGCTGGGCATGGGGGAGCAGGCAGTGGGTGGGGAGGAGAGCCCGATGGGGGTAATGGCTGGGTATGCCAGCCTCGGCTCCCTACTGCTGCTTTATGGGAGGGGTCTCACTGGCTCAGTAGAGGGAGGCCGGGGCTGGTCCTCCCCCCGCCGTGGAGGAACAGCTGGGCCTGCTGTAAACTCCTTCCCTGCCGATCTCTTGCAGGAGGCTCTGCATGACGCAGGCATCCTCCACTCCAGCCACAGAACGTCCGCGGGCTGTAGAAGAACCTGATTTGATAAGGTGGGCTGACAGGCCAAAGCTTTAACTACTGGTACCACAAACCTTCCCTTCTGGGATTCACAAAAGGGATGGGCTGCATCCCTTCCCCTCTCGTGGGTCAAAAGTTCCAGGGAGGGGGCTTCCCTGGTGGCTCAGTGGTTGAGAGTCCGCCTGCCGATGCAGGGGACATGGGTTCGTGCCCCGGTCTGGGAAGATCCCACATGCCGCGGAGCGGCTGGGCCCGTGAGCCATGGCCGCTGAGCCTGCGCGTCCGGAACCTGTGCTCCGCAACGGGAGAGGCCACAGCAGTGAGAGGCCCGCGTACCGCAAAAAAAACACTGTGACGGTGTCAGCACAGTTGTTGCTTTGACAAGAAACGGTCTGTGACTTCAGACTGAATGCTCGATTCTAAGTTAAGGAAAGTCAGTTGTGACGCACTGGGGAAGAGTGGAAATGTGTGCTTTTTTGTGCTCTAGAAGAGCCTTCCTTATCCTCAGCACAACTAACGTTTGGGGCTGGATAATTCCTTGAGGTGGTGACCGTCTCCTGCACCGTAGGATGTCTGGCAGCATCCCTGGCCTCAACCCATGAGAAGCCGGTGGCACTCCATCCCAGGTGTGACAACCCAAAACACCTCTGGATGTTGCCAAATGTCTCTTGGGGGGCAGTGCCGCTCCCCCTTCCAGTTGGAACCACTGCAGTAGAGTAACAAGCTTTCTGTTCAATGCCTGTGCCCTGTAGAGCTGTGGTCACTTGTTTACTCCAAGTATTTGGTGATTTAAGCACAGGACAGAGAGGTAGAAAGAAGGCAGTGTTTCTTTACTTTTTCCTTGGTTGACCCTTTAAACTCCCGCACAAGAGTCAGCGTGATATATTGACTAAAAGTGTTGGTTTTCAGACGTCTCTTCACCTTGTATGATCTGGGCAGGTCATTTAATTGGGCCTCAGTTTTCATTATCTGTAAAATAAAAGTACTAATGCCTACTTCTTCACTTGAGGATTCAGCTAGACATTGAATATATAAAGCTCCAGGTACAGTGTCTGGCATATGGTAGGCATTCTGTAAATGGTGGCTAGTATTCTCGTGCACTTAAGAATGTATTTTACAAGTTTTAAACAAATTGGATTTGTTTTTGAGTTAGCAATAGCATTTGTTGCTGCTACCTAAAATAGTAACGGGAACAGTTCATTTCCGTAGAATTACAGCTTATTTCAATAACATTATGGAGTTCCAACTATATAGTAGGTACTATGCTATATGCAGGGAATAAAAAAATTAACTGTAATCCCTGCCATTAAATATCTACTATGTAGATTTAGCCACATAAATGGGTCAAATCATGTTCATCAAAATAAAGCCATTGCTTACTGAAAAAGCTCAACACGAAATGGTCCATGGGTTGTAATGGGGTGTAGCATTCATTTTAGTGTAGGTAAAAGGATCCCACCATATTTCTCAACTCTCTCATTTCCCAATAAGTACCAATTTTTATTCAAGTTTTTATGATCCTGTGATTCAACCACGGTGATTTAACTGTGTTCTATAACCTTCTCTGCTCCCTCTTAGTACACATCTCAGCTGAGCTATCTGGAATATATTACCATATCTTTAAGTTTTCTTCAAGGATAATTTCCTAGCTTCTGAACGATACTGTGGATGGATGGATGTTATGATGGATGGATGTCATGAACTGTCCTTTACTGTTGGGTGTCATAAGTTGTGCCCTTCCAGACGTAGTCCCTGAGTCAAGGATAAAGTGTAATTGATTCATGGAGGAAGTGCTCCCAGTGAAACAGTAAGGGAATGGAAGAAGTGGGAATTAGAAAGGGAAGCAGCCTATCAAGGGGCAATATCAGGGGAAGTCCCTACATCAGCCCAATCCCACGGGGAGCTCTAGAGAGTCTACTGCACCTTCAGGTGTCTGTGCCACCTTGAGGCACAGAAGCTGGGCTTTTGTACTCCTGACCAGTAGTCAGTGGCTGGTGACCTCCCGGATGGCAGAATGCTGTATGTAAACTCCCAGCCACTTAGAACCCACTAAGATCGTGGGCTCCAACTCACAACAGCAAGCCTCTGAAAATAGCAGGTGCAAATGATTAGCAACAAAGCACACAGACGCTAGAGGAGAAGTGCACAAAGCTGATAGGAGGACACCCACAGTGTCCCTTCATTGGAAATTTAGGTTGCAGTGATCATTGTTACTGCGATTTATCTATTGCAAAGAATATTGCAGTGATTTTGCTGCTAGAAATAACTCCACAGTGAACATTTTCAGACTCAAATCTTTCTTTTTATTATTACCTTAGAATTGACAGATAGAAGGAGTATTACTTTTCCAATAGGTATATACATTTTAAAAAACATGCATATGAAAAACTGCCTTCCAGAAATATTTTTATCAATTTACACTTCCAACACTTACTGTTCATTTTCTTTTTTAGCAACAGTCTAGAGAGCATTGATTTCTCACCTATGAACTGAAGACCTGTAGACAACATCAGAGTTATTCTCAGGGATCAGAAAAGTCATGTTCCTGGTCTAGCTTTGAGTAGAGACTGAATAAATGATATCTCAAAATATGATTGTTTTGAAATGTATCAAGATGCTGTTATGTATAGATAAAAAGCATTTGCATTTTATTAGCGTTTATGAATTCACGGTAGCATTTCATCATGTATTTTCACCAGTACTAAAAATATAACTAGTCATGAAGCATCTGTAATACATTTTTTTAGGTCTCAAAAAGGTGCTACCTTGTTTTAAAGATTGAGAACTACGAGTCAATATCACTAAGATGTCTTAGGACATGTCTTGACTATTGATTAGAAAATCACCCATATAAACTGTTTTGTCTTAAAGATTTGTCAGTAAGAAAGTCTATACGACTTGGCACCATACATATAAAGCAGATTTAATGACCAAGTCAACAGACTAAAAAGCACATCTCAGAACCATTAAAGGTTTTTTGGAACATACCTACCTACCTCCACCCCCGCCATAATAGAACCCCTTCTTTCTCTTATAGGGGTAAGGGAACGCACCAGCATTGTCTTATTCTGTGTTTTAAATAGTCTAAAGAAATTATAAAGACACAGACAGGGCTATATCAAGGTGGAAGTATTGTTTGACCTGTTTTCTTAGCTCGATCCTTGAGGCTTTCTAAATAGCTGTTGAAGTAAAAATCAAAGACTATTTCGGGTCCTGAGCATTGAGGAAGACAAGGGTGACATTTACTGAGCCCCTACTCTGAGCCAGATACTGTGCTAGTTCCTGTCTGCCTTTCTGTTGTGAATATGGAATTCCCATGACCACCCCTGAAATTTGATTTCTAATACAGTAAAGGAGAAAGCTGAGGTTGATAAAGGGCATGACTTGCCTTGGTTAGTAGATGGGAAAATTGGGATTTGAACCTTACATGAATTTCCCCTGACACTTAGAGGAAAATAGAATAAATGACCCATAATCTTATATTTTAAAAGGTGGACAACTCTCAATTTAAAAAAGACCATAAAAAAAAAAAGATGGACAACTAACAAAGCCCCAGTTGCCTTCTTCCTCCTAATCTTCCCCTTTCACCTCAAAAGAGATTTCAGGGCTTCCCTGGTGGCGCAGTTGTTGAGAGTCCGCCTGTCGATGCAGGGGACACGGGTTTGTGCCCCGGTCCGGGAAGATCCCACATGCCATGGAGCGGCTGGGCCCGTGAGCCATGGCTGCTGAGCCTGCGCGTCCGGAGTCTGTGCTCCGAAATGGGAGAGGCCACAACAGTGAGAGGCCCACGTACCGCAAAAAAAAAAAAAGATTTCAGAATGAATGGTATGTGGATGAAAGACACTTGGATGTCAGTTAGAGTGTACTTATATCTCTTTGTTGAAGGAACCTTTTAGACATTGTTGCTATATATTTCAGTAGCTGAACATTTCTTTCCTGGGTATTTTTAGGTTCCTTTCTGGCAAAATTAATTAGTGTCATAGATCAAGCATATACTTTGAAGTCTGATAAAAATGTAAGAAAAAAGTCCAAAGAGGTCTCTAAGTCTCTCTCCAGTAACCTGAAAGAAGACATTTTAGAACCACCAAGCTACTGTCACTTTGATCAGTTGGCATTTCCTGTTTGTTCTCTTAAGTCTTAGGAATGCTAAGTCATTCAGATAATACTCTGTACACTTCCCAAGGGTATCAAGAGGCCCTTTAGTTTTGCTTGTTCATCTTATTTTCTGGCTTAAGAGAATGTGGTAGATATTTGGAAATGAGGACAGGTTCTGGTGGATGTAGTTCAGTAATGTTTGCAGAGGCTAGAGGGACTAGAGTCCTTCTCTCTCCATTATAGGACCAGACCTGAGGCTTAATCACAGCTATTTGTTCATTAGCAACTGCAGTCACTTTGCAGATACAGCCTTCACTTCCATAGGTCAACTCCTGAAGGTCTCCAGAATGCCTATTGCCAAACACCCTTAACAGTTAGGCCTTTGCCTGTTGGCAGAGTGTTTGTGAGAAACATTTGGCCTGACTGCTGGGCAGCACAGTCCTACTTAAGGCCACCTAGAAGTCTCAGTTTGGCAGCCTTTCCTTCACATTTACTTCTTTGGGAAGCCCTGTCAAGAAAGCTGTTGGGAGAGGCCATGATTCTAATATAATCTGATGTGCTATTTTTTCTCCTCCTCCTGTAGCCTCCTCCTGTAGCCCGCCCCCCCCCCCCGAGAAGAACTAGTTAATCAAGAGGTAGATTAATAAAGGATCTTAGTTTTCAAGAACCAGGATCCTAGGAACACAGAGACCAGAAGGATATCAACAGTTTCTCAGGGCCTGAGAACATGTCAGCTTTCATTGACGGGAGGGAACTGGTTGTCACACCTTGCCCCCCACCAAGATAAACTGGGGTTCTCTCCTTGTCATGCTGTGGGCCAGTTGTTCATTCCAGGAGCTTGCATTGTTAGGACCTCACTCAGGATGGGGTTGATCCAGGAGACTCAGTACCTTCACATGAAGGTGATTCATTGTGATTATCCTAGCCCAACTTTTAA